TGAGTTTTTTACCCAGCTCTCTGAGGAACTTTAGAATACACTTGCCCCAAGCTCCAAGGGTCTCCGACACTACTGGGATCTCCCTATAACTAGTGGCACCACCCTCTTCAAGTTCAGAGTATGGCAAGTAGGTGTCCCAACGTGGCAGCACAGGTGTAGTCCCAGGCAATCTGCTTACCATCCTTCCAGGGCAGCATATTGACTCCATCTGGATGCTTTTGACTTCCGTCAGACCTCATTATTTGGGGTTCCCGTTGAGCTGGACAACGGGCTGTGGCGAGGCTTCTCTTTATGATATTAACCTCCTCATGTCTAGCGTACTTCCCTTCTAATATATGACACACGAGACCATGAAGTCCGAATTGATCAGGCGACCCCTACCGCAAACGCATCTATGTTCGGCGAGTATGGGGCAGGCTAGGCGGACAGCAGCACCAATCCAAATGGCCTGTGGGTCGAGTCGAGTGCCCAGGGAAAAATTGAGAACAGCTAACAGGAAATCTCCTGAATATGGTGCCTTTACCGCTAGTAGACGAGCTTTGTCCTTTCCTGATGCGTTGTTGAGCATTTGTTGGCAATTTTTTCCACGATCGGTTTGTCCCAGTGGGATTGTTTGTGCTCTTTGGGAGGAGCTGGCATGCTTGAGGAGTCTGCAAAGGTGCTCCACAGCATGGCTGCTTTAATGAACCTGGGGTCTTGAGCTCCTACCGTACCCTTCAAGCATTCGGGAACAGTCTCCTTGACTAGTCCACTGGAAGGCATACATGACAGAAATTCAGGTAAAGCTACCTGTGTTGCCTTGTGCACCCTTATACCTCTCAGTCGCACCGGAGGAGTTGCTTGATCCCATTGCTGATCTTCCGGTGACAGATTCAGTGCCTTCTAAAGATAGATCTCAGGAGTGAGTCATATTTGCTGTATTGGATTTCCAAAAGAGGATGCGCACCTCAAGAAGTGAGTCTTGGCAGAGTAAGACACCTTGTGAGGAGATGCAGGGCATCAAGATCACTTATTCTCTCCTCCATTCTCTTCAGGTCAATCAGTTTGTCCTTGAGGACTGTGTTGATGGCCTGATGACCCAGCAGTGCTCCCAAGAGAATGCTCTTGGATTGGGTGGCAGTAGAGGTTTCAGGAAGGATTGTTCGCACAGTTGTAATTATTTCCTGGTTGGTTGTGATGATTTTGCACTTGGAGAGATTGAGGATGAGTCCTGTGTCTTCCCCAGTTGTAAGTCTACTAGCAGGGAATCTTCTATACCTGCCAGAGTGCCATCATCCAGGTACCAAATATTGAGCACGCTGTGCAAGCTGGAAGTTAGTTCTCTTGCCTCCAAGCAGAAGACAAATGGAGCGAGTGGGTCACCCTGCTGAACATCTTTTGATGAGAATATTTCATGTTCGCCAAACAAAAGAATTGAGGGTTTGCTGTAGCCAGCTGAAATGAAGGGAAAAAGACTGGGGAACTTTTTCCCAAACAGCTGGCAAGACCACATGTCTTTTCACCATATTAAAGGCATTTCTAAAGTCAAGTTCGACTACGGCCCTGTCTTCTGATAAGTCCATGCTGCATGAGCTGCCGCTTCACTGCCTTGAGAGACCCCAAAGACCAGTTAGTCTGGTTGGAGTAAATTGGTGGCTTCAACGTGAATGTTTCTTACTGCTGCTTTGGCAACGAGACACCGAAGAGTATTACTGACAGCAATGGGTCTCATTCCCCCATCGTTCTTCAAAATGCATAATGAGGCTCCGACATAGAAAGGTTTAATTTCTTCTGGAATCAGCCCAGCCAGACAGTTGTTGACGAAGGTTGTTAACTCGGTGAGAAGAATTGATGCAGTTGTGCTGAGTACTGGATTTACCATCTCTTTGATGTGTTGTAGTCGTATTCCGGTGTAACCTCCTGCAGATCCTGCTGGAAATGATACTATCGTTTTATACACTTCTAATTCTGGCAAAATTAACTGTCCAGTGATGAGATCTTCCTCAGGGTCGTTGTTAACGATTCTAATGTCCCTGGTTTTGTGTTTGTCTCTGAGTGCTTGGGCTGTGGCCTCATCTTTGGGAGCAAGTGTCGTTACTTGTAATTATTCTGATTGCTCCCACTGTGTTACCTTCTATTTTTTTACTAACCCATGCGCAGATTTTCTCGTTTTCGGTGGAATTTTTCTTGGGTTTGCCTCTCATTCCTGCGATGATAGGGCAGAAGGATACAGTTATTTGTTCTTGGGTAGTTGTACACTGCTTTGATGACTGATGTGGTTAGCAATTTGCCGAACAGGAGTAGGTTGCGCCATGCCTTTATGGTGCCTCGGGCTTTAAATTCACCTGCTTAAGGTCTGTGAATTTCCCTGCAGCATATGGACGAGCCGCTTTAGGAATGTGTGGTAGAGTACTGCTAGCAGTGGATTTGAATGCCATCAGAAGATCGTATATACATATTTATTTATATACAGGGAGGTACCACCTACTGGGGAGTCTCATCTCAGAGAAAAGAATAAATTTACTTCTGGGAAAACTCGAAGTTCTCTCCAGAGCTGTTTGAATATTTTCTTCTCCTACCACCCACTATTTTCTATATTTTGTGTGAACTTTATTTATAGACAGAATACAATGACAAAAAAATACAAACATGAATACACTGGTACATATATCAAAGATTATGAATCTCCTCCTGCTCCTCCGAAGCCAGACGCGAGCTGTGTATGCAGCATGCATTTCCTCTTTGGATGGCCACACTAAGGTGCTGGAACATGAAAGTAGCTGCCCTCGTGTCCCTGGTGCTGTCGAGGAATCTGGAACCCAGTTCTTTAAGGAAACATGTGACATTTTTTCCCCATGATCCCAAGGTCTCTGATCCCACTGGGAGAAATTGATACTGTTGGTTTATGACCCTGTACTTGCCGATCTTGTACTCCTCCCTGTGATCAGCAGCTCCTCCCTGTCGCCTGACACTGTGATGTATGTAGGAGTCAGCCAGTGTCGACACGCAGGTATAGTCCCATACTAAGCGCTTGCTATTCTTCCGAGGATAGATGGTGATCCCGTCTGGGCAGTTTGCTGGGTTGTGAGTATTGTTGGCTGCTAGTGATCGGGGATTTTTCTCGGCGGGAATTCAGCTGTAGCAAGGCCTCTCTTTATGATGCCATTGACTTCATTGTATCTTGTGTGCCAGCCCTTGGTTTTGGAGCAGTTAAGACCATGTAGACCATATTGGGCAGCTTATGAATCACAGAAAATACATCTGTATTTCGTGAGAATTGGGGCAGCGAGTCAGAAAGCCACTGCAATACGGAAAGTCTTAGGGTCGAGGCGTGTTCCCATTTGCCAAAGTGGGAACTGTTTGGAGTCCCCGGAGTGAGGTGCACTCACAGCTTGGAGACAGGCAGTCTGTCTGATGTTACATCCCTAAGCATGTTGGCAAGTACCTTTTCAGCAATGGGGCCATCCCAACTTGACTGTTTGTAGGTCAGTGCTGCAATAAGTTTTGGTGTTTGAGCAGCGAAAGTCTCCCATTAAGACGATTAAGTGATAGCACTGGCACAGCTTGGGTCCTGTATTCCTGCTGAATCATTGAGGCTGTCCAGAAGAATTAGTTTTATTAACTCATTTGATGCTATGGAAGAGGATGGGAAGATTTGCATACCCCCAGCCCCCCAAACTGGGGGTAATATATATATAAAAATAAAATATATATAATATATATATATATATATATATATATAATATATATATATATATATATATATATATAATATATATATATATATATATATAATATATGTCGTGCCGAATATGTAAAACGGGTCAATTAGCAAGAACCCATTTAAAATTAGGTCCTTTCTAAAGTTTTCTCTTATACGTTTAAAGATATATTTTTTCATTAATTTTGATGTAAAAATTCATAATTTTTCTCCAAAAGGAACTTAGAAAACTTACCTAACCTTATTATAACAAGAACAATTTATTTTAGCCTAACCCAACTAAATATATTTTAGATTTGTTTACAATAATTTAATACTAAACAAACACAGTGAAATATATTTTTTGCGTTAGGTTCAGAATGATTTTGGCGAAATTATTGCGTACATAAATTTTCACTTGTCCTATATGGCAAGATGAGCGTTGCTATTTAAGCCAAGATCGCAAGTTTTATGTATATATATATATATATATATATATATATATATATATATATATAAAATATATATATAATATAAATATATATATATATATATATAAAATATATATATATATAAGTTTTTCGTGAAAAAGAAAGAAGCTTCTCAGTTGATGCAAAGAGATGAATGTATCTGATTACAGTGGTGCCAACACTTGTTTATTTGTAAAGCTTCGTATGTGAATGTTGCAGCGAGGAGGAAGCTGGACCCAATACGTATTTTTTTTATTATTATATATACTAAATAAAGCAAAGAACTGAGAAAACAGTGGAGTGGTAAGAAATACATAATTTAGATTGTGTAACTGGATTACTTGAGATAGTTTGAGAGGGTGAATAATCTGGGTGACTGGTTGGAAGGGTGGGAAGAATGAGGAGGAAATTTTGATATACTTGCTTGAGCATCCAGCAGGTATGTGTGTGGTAGTTAGTAAGTACAATGACAGCACTTTTTATAGTTGGGTTGGGATGTTGTGGTTCTATGAGTCATTACTGAATCACCGAGAGATCATTTATGTATTGTTTAAGTCACGGTATTGTGCCTTTTTATTATTTATTAATGCTTGATTTTGTATGTGTATTTAATAACATTATGGAATCTTAATTATGCTTCATGAGAGTTTCAAAAAATTAGGGAATAAGACATGTAAAAGAGGATTCAGATCAATATTACACTGTCAACTCTGAAAGATTTACAGATTGTATTAAGATAGCACTAGAAAATAATCAGAGCATATGAAAATATGTATAAATTTAATAAAAGTGAGACTTCACTTCATCGAGATTTATAATATTCAGTTCCTTGACCTGTTTAATTTTTTCAGAATATATGGTAACTCACCTTACGAGGAGAACAACAGGTGTAATTTGTCTCCATCAGTGACCTGCAACAATTACGTTCTGAAACACTCTGAAATGTTTTAATCCCATTAGTTTGTAAGTCCTGAGCCATTATGGTAAACTATTTTATGTAAGAGAACTTAATACATAGTTTGTGGACCAGTTCCTGAACCAATTATTGTATCAGATTCTGTAATCTCTAGACTAGCATGTACCAGATTAATATGGGATCCACAATAAAGTTATCAAACTAAATTTGTTACACAGATTTTATTTAGCCTTATCTGCAGTAATCATTGTAGACTCATTAAGCTTTGTACCACAGACGCTAAATTCATTTATAATGATGAATTATATATCTAAACGTATGGTATAACCACTGGTAATACATTCTCATCCTGATTTGTCAAGTTAATGTATAATTTTTTTTACAAGTTAAATATATACTTTGAATAATCGCAATCACTGAGATGCATAGATTTTATCTTGTTTTTCCTTGCATGTGAAACTTGGCTTTCACGAATTTCTCCTCAAACTTGATTTCCAGCTCCACTAAATTAATAATGCTGGAAAAATAAAAGCTTACTTTTTTTAGGTTAAGTAAGACACATGTGCAACAGTTAGGTATATTTATTCCGAAACGTTTCACCTACACAGTAGGCTTCTTCAGTGAGTACAGAAAAGTTGGCAGGAGCAGTAGAGATGTGAAGACGATGTGATCAGTCCATCACCTTTGAAGACTTAGTTTTGAGGTGGTCAGTCCCACAGTCTGGAGAAGAGTTTTGTTCCATAGTCTGAAACAATGTGAAGCTGAAGCGACAGTCTGGAGACTTATATATTGTCAGAAGGTGAGGCGTAGTACAATAGTAGGTGAAGGAATGTAATCACTGAGAGGTCAGGTCCCTCTCAAATTCATCCATTCTCACTTGTAAAAGCTTTCCAAGGTGTTTTCTGTTCTGTACCAAGATACCATTGTGTTACAGTGTCTGATAAAGTGAATATTAAAATGGTATACAGTACTGAGAGGTTGTTAAGACACGTGCAAAAGTTAGGTATCTCTATTTCGAAACGTTTCGCCTACTACGTCTTTAAAACCCTTTTAGCCCTGAATTATGAAAGGTATATATGTTTGTTCTCATTTGTTGAAATGTCTTTCCTAGGAAGCTAAGGAATACATTTATTCATGAAAATAATCATAATGAATATAATTTCAAAAAATATAATGGTGGGAACTCAGGGTCCCGCCAGGCTTTTTCAGGGTAAAAAGTGGAGTTACATGTGTAAAAAATTTCAGTTAGAAAACAGAATTTTATTCAATTATACATTAATTTTTTTTACTATTTTCACTCAGATATGAAAAGAAAATATTTTCTTAATTAGTCTCTGAATATAAGACAAACTGAAGATAATTTCCCAGTTTATAAGTTTCATTTCATGATTATACATAAAAAAAATTATTTTCCTCTTAGTAGTATGAAATTTCAATAATCAGTGGAGTTCATAAAACAAATCAATTTCTATTATAAACATTTACTTCTGTACTTTTCTTGCTATTGCAAGAAGTAATAAAATATAAGAGAAAAAAGCTATCATTCTTTTACAGTTTTACCAGATCAGGGACCTGGACGTGATGCTCATGGTAACAATTCTTTGTTGCATTGCAGCCGGGATGAATTCCACAATAACTACAGATTGATATTGATCGTGATTCTTCCCCCTTTCTTGGTGCATATCTCATATCTTCCTTTCTTGCCAATAAATTTTGGCCAATGGATCCCAGTGTTGGTGGGCCTAACAGAAGTAGGTACGCTGTAGTCAACTTTTCTTCGCTTGGGAGCTCCTTCGGATCGGTGATTTGTTGCAAATGCTAGAAGTCCTTGTGCCAGTTCTCTACGGAATTCTAACAGTGAGAGAGGTGAATGAGTTTCATTGTACACAACATTTGCATTAACGATACTCATGCCAAGAAGACCCAAAAAAATTCTATGCCACCATTTCTTACTCTTACTGTTTGCACCATACAGCTGTCGTAGCATATCATGCTTATCCACTCCTCCCATGTTTTCATTGTAATCCTTTAACGCTTGGGAACAAGTGATTACTGTCTTAGTTCCATTTTTTCTGTCCTCTTCACAGTTGTGGTTGTAAATCCATGACAGTTGGATGCTATGTAAACTGCTTTACTGTCCATCCATCTATACACAGTTATTCCATTAGGTTTACCTGGAGTTTACCTGGAGAGAGTTCCGGGGGTCAACGCCTCCGCGGCCCGGTCTGTGACCAGGCCTCCTGGTGGATCAGAGCCTGATCAACCAGGCTGTTGCTGCTGGCTGCACGCAAACCAACGTACGAGCCACAGCCCGGCTGGTCAGGAACCGACTTTAGGTGCTTGTCCAGTGCCAGCTTGAAGACTGCCAGGGGTCTGTTGGTAATCCCCCTTATGTATGCTGGGAGGCAGTTGAACAGTCTCGGGCCCCTGACACTTATTGTATGGTCTCTTAACGTGCTAGTGACACCCCTGCTTTTCATTGGGGGGATGTTGCATCGTCTGCCAAGTCTTTTGCTTTCGTAGTGAGTGATTTTCGTGTGCAAGTTCGGTACTAGTCCCTCTAGGATTTTCCAGGTGTATATAATCATGTATCTCTCCCGCCTGCATTCCAGGGAATACAGGTTCAGGAACCTCAAGCGCTCCCAGTAATTGAGGTGTTTTATCTCAGTTATGCGCGCCGTGAAGGTTCTCTGTACATTTTCTAGGTCAGCAATTTCACCTGCCTTGAAAGGTGCTGTTAGTGTGCAGCAATATTCCAGCCTAGATAGAACAAGTGACCTGAAGAGTGTCATCATGGGCTTGGCCTCCCTAGTTTTGAAGGTTCTCATTATCCATCCTGTCATTTTTCTAGCAGATGCGATTGATACAATGTTATGGTTTTTGAAGGTGAGATCCTCCGACATGATCACTCCCAGGTCTTTGACGTTGGCGTTTCGCTCTATTTTGTGGCCAGAATTTGTTTTGTACTCTGATGAAGATTTAATTTCCTCGTGTTTACCATATCTGAGTAATTGAAATTTCTCATCGTTGAACTTCATATTGTTTTCTGCAGCCCACTGAAAGATTTGGTTGATGTCCGCCTGGAGCCTTGCAGTGTCTGCAATGGAAGACACTGTCATGCAGATTCGGGTGTCATCTGCAAAGGAAGACACGGTGCTGTGGCTGACAACCTTGTCTATGTCGGATATGAGGATGAGGAACATGATGGGAGCGAGTACTGTGCCTTGTGGAACAGAGCTTTTCACCGTAGCTGCCTAGGACTTTACTCTGTTGACGACTACTCTCTGTGTTCTGTTAGTGAGGAAATTATAGATCCATCGACCGACTTTTCCTGTTATTCCTTTAGCACGCATTTTGTGCGCTATTACGCCATGGTCACACTTGTCGAAGGCTTTTGCAAAGTCTGTAAATATTACATCTGCATTCTTTTTGTCTTCTAGTGCATTTAGGACCTTGTCGTAGTGATCCAATAGTTGAGACAGACAGGAGCGACCTGTTCTAAACCCATGTTGCCCTGGGTTGTGTAACTGATGGGTTTCTAGATGGGTGGTGATCTTGCTTCTTAGGACCCTTCAAAGATTTTTATGATATGGGATGTTAGTGCTATTGGTCTGTAGTTCTTTGCTGTTGCTTTACTGCCCCCTTTGTGGAGTGGGGCTATGTCTGCTGTTTTTAGTAACTGTGGGACGACCCCCGTGTCCATGCTCCCTCTCCATAGGATGGAAAAGGCTCGTGATAGGGCTTCTTGCAGTTCTTGATGAACACGGAGTTCCATGGTCTGGCCCTGGAGCAGAGTGCTGGGCATGTCATTTATCGCCTGTTCGAAGTCATTTGGCGTCAGGATAACATCGGATAGGCTTGTGTTAATCAAATTTTGTGGCTCTCTCATAAAAAAATTAATTTTGATCTTCGACTCTCAGTCTGGTTAGCGGCTTGCTAAAAACTGAGTCATATTGGGACTTGAGTAGCTCACTCATTTCCTTGCTGTCATCTGTGTAGGACCCATCTTGTTTAAGTAGGGGCCCAATACTGGACGTTGTTCTCGACTTTGATTTGGCATAGGAGAAGAAATACTTTGGGTTTCTTTCGATTTCATTTATGGCTTTTAGTTCTTCCCGCGATTCCTGACTCCTATTAAGATTCCTTTAGCTTAAGTTCGATGCTTGCTATTTCTCTGACCAGTGTCTCCCTACGCATTTCAGATATATTGACCTCTTTTAGCCGCTCTGTTATTCTTTTCCGTCGCCTGTAAAGGGAGCACCTGTCTCTTTCTATTTTACATCTACTCCTCCTTTTTCTTAGAGGATATAAGCCTTGTTCATACATCGAGTGCCACCAAGTTAATCTGTTCTAGGCATAAGTTGGGGTCTGTGTTGCTTAGTATATCTTCCAGCTTATATCGGTTAGGACCTTGTTTACTTGGTCCCACTTTATGTTTTTGTTATTGAAGTTGAATTTGGTGAATGCTCCCTCGTGACTAATCTCATTATGTCGGTCTGGGGCTCCACGCATACATGTCTGAACCTCAATTATGTTGTGATCTGAGTATATTGTTTTTGATATGGTGACATTTCTTATCAGATCATCATTGTAGTGAAGATGAGGTCTAGTGTATTCTCCAGTCTAGTAGCTCTATTATTTGCTGGTTTAAATTGAATTTTGTGCAGAGATTTAAAAACTCGTGTGAGTGTGAGTTTTCATCAGAGCTGCCTCCTGGTGTTATTACTGCAACAATATTATTTGCTATATTCCTCCATTTTAGGTGCTTTAAGTTGAAATCCCCCAGGAGCAAGATGTTGGGTGCAGGAGCTGGAAGATTTTCCAGACAGTGGTCAATTTTTTAACAGCTGTTCCTGGAATTGCTGGGATGTTGCATCCGGAGGCTTGTAGACTACCACAATGACTAGGTTTTGGTTCTCGACTGTAGGTGTGGACCTATAGTCAAAGTCTCCTCTTTTTAGTTACTTGTCATTTTCTAAAGGAGGGAAATCCATTCTTGTGGGTCTGATTGTGACACGAGCTTGAACACTGATTCCTTGCAAGGTCTCTAGGAGAGGGAAAGAAGTAAAGTAGTTATCAAAGAAAATTTTGTGATTTTTGCCATGGAGATGATTAGTCAGTTTGAGAACTACTTCTCATGCTAATCCTACTTCTTTCCTCTTGATAGGATCTTTGTCTTCTCCTTTACCTTTGTATATAGCAAAGT